CTCCAGGTCGGAATGCCAGATGCTGTTTTTCCATCTGCTTACCGCGGCACCTGATCTACTGATATTTTAACTACTGTCTGCAGACCCATGACCCAGTGCTACTCCATTCAGGCTTCAGACTGGCAGGGCTTCTGGTCCTGCAGGCACCCTCTCTGTTGCTGCTGCCAAATGTAATTTTAACTAAGTATCATTCTGCTTACCAATAAGAACCGGGAGTCAGACGTTGGGGTGAAAATCTACTGACTCAGAGAGGCCAAGAAGCAACCAGCTGACCTTCCTTTTTGGCCTGAGAGCCAGCAAGAAAAAGTCTCTCCAGACATCCCAAACAAAGACTGCAAAACTCCAAGTCCCTCCCTACTCCTTCCTGTGCAATTCTTCATCCAGCTTCCTGGCTCCTCTGGTACTCTGTGGCTAATTCCTGTCAACTTCTTGTTGGCTCTACCCCGATTCAGGGTTGATTTTAGTAACACAGTCTCTGGTTTCACAGTGTGACCAAATATCTTGCAACACACAGAAAGATGTTTGCAGAGAGAACAAGAGACTTTGGAGCATTCAGCTCTAACCAGGATGTGTTCATCAAATCCTTCCCCTCAAAGCTCAGGGAACCATGAGGGAACCATGGAAGAGGAGGTTGAAAGACTTTAACAGCCAGAGGTGATGGAGGACACAAAGAATACAAATCCCTCCATATCAACATGAGCAAAGCTCATATGAACTTCATATAAATGCACAGAAACTAAAGCAACATGCGCAGGGTCTATCTGCAGCAGGTCGCTCTGTGTATTATGGTTTCCCGTTTAGTATTTTTGTGGGATTCTGAGTGAGCAGAAGAGGTCTCTCATTCTTGTGCTTTCTCTTTGGCTCCTTTTTTTTTTCCTGTTGGTTTGTTCTGTCCAACTTTGATGTGATAGTTTTTGTTTTATCTTATTTTGTTATATTTTAAAATAGAGCATGAATGACTGAAAATTTAGCCACTGGGGGGTAAATGTTAACAACTGAATGTTTATACCTACTAGGAGAGGGAATATCAGTTTTCTTCAATGGAATGACGTTTGGTCTACCATCCATTCCAGGGCAAGTCTCATCTTTTAAGAGTAGTGGACCAGCAAATAATGAGCTTCACAGGTTTTATTATGTGTGCTCACACGTGCCTGTGTGTGCGTCTGTGTGTGTGTGTGCATGTGTGCGTGCGTGTGTGTGTTTTCGTGTGTATGCTTTTATTTGGTTACAGTTTTTTTTTTCCTTTTTGGGTGTTGCTTGCTGTATTTTGTTTCCAAAGTTTCTAAAAAAATTTTTTGTATTAGATTTTGTGAGGTATTTTTGTTTATTTAAGAAAGAACTAAAATTGGTTGGGTATAGAGTAGGAGAGGGCCTGAAAGGAATGGGGGAAGGGGAAGAATATGGTCAAAATATATTTAAATTTAAAATTTGTTTAAATAATAAAAATAAACTATTCCTATAAAAGATTCTTAATTTCTTTGGTGTTATTTTCAACGTTTCCTTGCTCATTTTTGATTCTGTTAACTTAGGTCATTTCTTCTAGTAGGGTCAAGGGCTTATCACTCTTATTTTCTCAAAGAATCAGCTCTTAGATCCACTGATTCTTTGTTTTTAATTTTTGCTTTAAAAAATTCTGTCTATTGGAATGTTTTGTTCTATTATTTTTCTAAATTCTTGAGTTGCATTAATTAGTTTATTTGTGCACTTCCTGATTTTTTAATGCAGGCATTTAGAGCTATAAATCCTCTTATAGGAAAGCTTTTAATTGTCCTAGAGTTTTTTTATTGTTTCATATTTTTAATCTTTATTTCATTCCATGAATTAAAAAGATTCTTTTTTGATTTTTCTTTGACCCTTTCATCATTCTGTAAAAATTATTTAATCTTGATGAATTTGTGTACTTACTAGAGATTGCTTGCTGCCCATTTTAAGTTTTATTGCAATATGGTCAGGTAGAATAATGGAATTATTTTAATTTTTCTGAATTTTTTTTGTGTCCCAGGATGTCCTCTATATTAGAGAAGTTTCCATGGACTGCTGAGTAGAATGAATTTTGTTTCAAGTTTGGGTAGAATATTTTGTAAATATGTGTTATATCCATTATGTAATGTCATTTAATTCTGATGATTCTGTTTTTGTTAAGGTAGCCTGCCTGACTACTGAAGAAGGTAGGATACTGAAATCACCTACTATTAAAGGGTTTAAATTAACCTATGGTGTTTTTTTTATTTTTTATTTTTTTTTTTTTTGAGATAGGGTTTCTCTGTGTAGCCCTGGATGTCCTGGGATTAACCTGTGTCCTTAATTTCAGTGGCACACTTTTTAGGAAGTTATGCACTCCAGAGTTTGGTACATATTATGTTTAGGATTATAATGACTTCTTTATTAACTTTAGTTTTTTTGATTAGAATGAAGAGCCCTTCTTTATCTTTCTAATTAGTTTTAATTTGAAGTCTATTTGCCAGATATTAGAATGGCAATGCTTGCTTTCTTTCTGGTTCTGTTTGGAGTTCCTTTTCCATCTTTTTACTTTATGGTGATGCCTATTTATACAGATGAGTTTCTTGTACACCACAGAAAGACAGATTTTGTTTCTTAGTAAAGTCATCAACTCTGTCTTTCAATGGGAGAACTGAGGACATGGGTATTAAAAGATATAACTGAAATGTTTGTGTTGACAGCAGTTTTTTCTTTTTGCTGTTTGTGTTCTTAGTTGTATTTTAGTAATTATAGCTTCGTTTCCTTTATACACTCTCTTGGTTATGCTTATTACTCTCTTCAGCCTGAAATATTGTTTCTTGTGTTTTGTGTGGGGTTTGTCTCCTGGGTATCAATCCTTTTAGCCTTATTGGTTCATGAAAAGGTTTTCTTTCTTCTTCAATCATGGCAGACAGTTTTGCTGACTACAATAGTCTAGTTTGTCAGGTAGGATCTTGTTTCGCTCCAAGTTCTTCCAGCTTCAAATTTTCCACTGACAAAACAGCTGTTATCCTGATGGGTTTTCCTTTATATGTGATTTTTTTTTATCTTATAGCTTCAACATTTTCTTTATTCTGTATATTCTGAAACGCTGTAAGGAGTTTCTTCTGTGGTCTTATCTCCTCTTGTATATGTATGCTGTTACTGAGTTTGGGGCATTTCACGTTTGCGATCATGTCATTGATCTAGCTTTTGCTCTTGGCCTGGAGTTCTTTTCCCTCGACTATATCTATAATTAGACTAGTTTGTCCTTTCATGCTGTCCCCGATCCCTGCATGTTTTTTTCCTGTGCTTAATTTTTAAACATATATGCTTTGCTCGTGTAGTCTAATTCCTCTGAGTCTTGGTATTCAATTTTCTACTTGAGCCATTATCCTTGCAAGGCTTTCCTCTGAGTTTTCGACTTGGGTTATTGACTTTTTCAATTCTAGCTTCATTTCAGCCTGAGGTCTCATCAACATTTCTATCTCTTTATTGAATTCTGACTTTAAATCTCGAACTTCTGTCATTTTGTTCAGTAGTACATTTGTTGCTTCTTAGACACCATTCTGGCCTGTCTTAGACTGGGCCTGTGAAGGCCTGTGTGACTATAATTAGCCAGGAAAAGCTAGTGCATGAGTGTTTTGGACCTAGGCCAGGCACAGTCAACCTTGGCCTGCAGCTACACTTATAGATTTGGAGACAATGGGGTGAGCAGGAAGAGGGAGTCACCAGGTAGAGTCAGAGCAATGGGTCTTGAGGACTGTGAGTCTGGAGATGACAGAATGACCATGGGGAAGACTAGAGAGGAAAGAGAGACTTACTAGTCAAAGATAGCTAAAAAAAAGTTGGTTCATAGATGAAAAGTCTAGGTCTATGAACTGCTGCTGAGGGACACATCTGGGTCTGTGGTCCTGCTGCAGCTGGGGTATGTGATGGTGTCCATGTGATGCTTGCCACAGGGTGTCATAGCAACCATGAATGTTGAAATCCAATCGCCGTGCTGAGTCAGCCCTGCCCATCACTGTCCCTGGGAAAGCTGACACTGATTCTCATTGGACGTTGCAGCAGGAGAGCTGGCCTCACACCCCATGAGAGAGACAATCACTTGGGAGAAATGGCCCCTCCCCACACCATGACCCCTATGGCATGGGCCTAGGAGTGCTGGCTCCACACCTCTCCTGAGGTAGGCAGTCTCAGTGGCCCAGACTGACCAGTTCAGCTACAACCCTATAGCATGATTAATAAAAACCCAGAGACAGATATTGGTGTTCAACTTGAAGGTCAGAAAAACAAAACAGCCAGCCACTGGCTCTTACCTCTACCTCAGTCCAAAATGGTGATCCTGCCTCCCGGAATCCTTAGAATGAGACTGTGTGAGAGTTGTCTCCTCCTATCTTATATTCATCTCTAGTGCTGGGATTAAAGGCGTGTACTTCTATCACCTGGTTTCTATGTCAAACTACTGTGGCTACTGGGGTCAAAGGTGTGTATCACCACTGCCTGCTCTGTAAGGCTGACTAGGGCAACTGTTTTACTCTCTGATCTCCAGGCAAGCTTTATTTATTAACATACAAATGAAATATCACTACACCACCCAGAGCCACATCCTGGGCCTTTGGTTGGTCCACCCTGACATCTACCACATCTATGACCTGCTGGAGTGTGTGAAGGGACTGGTCCCGTGGAACAATAGCCACAGGATCTCCATGACTTGGGGCAGCTGCAGGATACCTGAGAGTTTCAGTGAGGATCCAGCGATGATGGTGTGCCAGAGGTCTTGAACCACACCAATGACTCATTGCAAAGAATAATTTGTGGGTGGGGCTAACTGGTCAAAAGGGTACACTGCGGACTTTTAAGTTTTGAAGTTAGAGTGAAAGAAATCTTCATGGTTTGGATAACTTGTCATTCACTCAACTTTCAAAGCCTGCAGACTCCCTTCCCCTGGGTGCTCATTTGTATGTGTGTAAAGTCGTGTGAAAGACTTCTGTGTATTCAGTTGGGGACAGCAGTCTGAGAACAGAGGGCACTGGCTGGACTGCAATCTTACAGCATATTTATTTCATCAGAAGTTCTCCTCCTGTCGGTGTTAGCAAAGGTCAGAAAGATTTGCTCCAGTGCCACTTGTTTGACAGAATAGTCTTCCAGATTGAACAGCACTTTAGCTTCCTCCATAGCTTCAAATACCTTAAACAAACAGACAAAAGGCAAAATTAGCATGCACTATCACTAGGTGATCCTCTCCCCACTTGACCTTCCCCAACCAGGACACAAAGATAAAAGGAGCTAAAAAACAAAAAGGAAAGACGACTGAAAACTATAGCAAACAGCTATCCTGCATACCCCTTCCCTCTTCTACTCACACATGCTGTTAGACAGAATCTGTACATGGAGCCCAGGCTGGACTCATATTGGAGATTCCCTTGCCTCAGCCTCCAGAGCACTGGGACTGTAGGCTGGCCTATCCATGCATACCTAATCAATTATCCTCACTCTCTTGCTGAACATGACATAATAATATAATTTGGGGGTCAGAAGATTCAATCGGTTAAATTCAGGTGGCCTTGGAAAAATAATTTAAAGTTTCTAATTCTCTGATAATCGGATCCTCGTCCATATGCTTAACTCCCAGTGTTTTCTTTTTTCTTTTTATTTATTTATTTATTTATTTTAAAGTAATTTTATTAAATTATAAAAGTTTCCATTTCCGCCCCTCCTCCCACCACCCTCCCACTCCCCCCACTCCCTCTCCTCCTCCCTCTCCATCCCTAAGAGCAGTCAGGGTTTCCTGCCCAGTGGGAAGTTCAAGTTCCTCCCGCCTCCCTCCAGGTCCAGGAAGGTGAGTGTCCAGACGGACTGGATCTGCAAAATCCAGTATATGCAGAGGAAACAAGTCCCAGTGCCATTGTCAATGGCTTTTCAGAAAGACTCCGGGCCAGCCACATTCAGAGAATCTGGTTGGATTGCGTCCTCGTTCAGTCCCAGTCCAACTGGCCTTGGGAAACTCTCATTAGATCCGTCCCCTTGTATCAGTGGGTGATCGCATCCCTCGCAGTCCTTATTTCCTTTTTCATTTTCTTCGTCCTCTGCTCCTCATTTGGACCTTGGGGGGCTCAGTCCGGTGCTCCAATGTGGGTCTCCGTCTGTATCACCATTCATCGTTGGATGAAGGTTCTCTCTGATCTTGCCTTCTTTGCTCACGTTCTCTTTCCTTCTGCTTCTCGTTTGGACCAAACTCAAAAACACCAATGAGAGCCTATGCTGGAGAGGATGTGGAATGAGGGGAACACTCATCCATTGTTGGTGGGAATGCAAACTTGTGCAGCCACTGTGGAAATCAGTGTGGCGGTTTCTCAGGAAACTGGGAGTCAACCTCCCTCAGGACCCAGCAATTCCACTCTTGGGAATATACCCAAGAGATGCCCTATCATACTACAAAAACATTTGTTCAACTATGTTCATAGCAGCACTATTTGTAATAGCCAGAACCTGGAAACAACCTAGGTGCCCCTCAATAGAAGAATGGTTAAAAAAGGTGTGGAACATATATACACTAGAGTTCTACTCAGCGGTAAAAAACAATGACATCTTGAATTTTGCATGCAAATGGATGGAAATAGAAAACGCTTTACTGAGTGAGGTAAGCCAGACCCCAAAAAGAGGAATATGGTATGTATTCACTCATATGTGGATTCTAACCATAATTAAAGGTCTTTGAGTCTATAATTCGTGATCCTAGAGAAGCTAAATAAGAAGGTGAACCTGATGAAAATCATGTAGCTATCTGCCTGGAGA